AAAGGAAGAATATTTTGTGCTAGAAAACATATGTGTTGCATTATGATTTCGATCCCATCCACCCTCTCCAGTCTTGATTTACTGACTTGAACAGGGGTTGGCAAGCTAGCTGACAGGCCATCTCTAATAGTTTCTCAGGCACACTGCCATGCACACTGTTTTCCTGTTTTCTAACCGCATTCATGCAGCTTTGGGAGACGTAGGTAGTTGTGACAGAAACCACATAACACGAGAACCTAAAATACTGACTTTCTCATTCTAAGAAAAATAATTGATGGTCCGTAGCTTAGCATGTGGTGTAAACTTAAGAATTTTCTATGCAATTAAAAAGGAACGTGTGCCCACACCTGTGACAGCAGAGATTCCTAACAAGGTGGGAGGTAGGGGCTGAGGGTGGGCAGCAGTAGGACAAGCAGCTTAGAATCCAGCTTCCTGAGCATTGTGTTGGCTGAAGGTGGGCAGGCCAGGCCATGTTCAAAGTGTTCTCCCCAGGTTAGGACAGTGTAGCTCCCCATCTGCAGGGGAACCAAGTGCTACCTCATCCATCCTGTGTGAGGGAGAGAAGCCCTGCCACATCTGCCCAGGAAGAAACCACTGAACAGCATGAGAGCACAGATCTCAGGCCCTTAAGCCCCCAAGGTACCATCTCAGGAATATCAACACTATTGTTTCCATCCACACTTTCCTCCAACACTGAAGATCACCTTGTCTCCAAGTGTCAGTCTAGCCCTCAACCTCTGGGAGGAGTCCCTTCCTTCTCTCTGCTAAGTGCTCTCCCTCCTCTGCTTGTGTTCCTTTGACCATACAGCAGCCAGCAAAAGCTAAGGCTTCCCGATGTCTGCACTTTGCCAGGAATCAGGTGCAGAAGGTGGACTACTTTCCTTATAATAAATTGACTGTTCTGATCTGTTAGGTGGAAAAAGTGGATACTAAAGGCCAAAACTAAATGGGAATTCCACTTTAGGCAGGGAACCCAACCTGAGATATCTACCTTAGACCCATGAACCCCAGTCCCTACTGACACACCTGATTCAAATGGCCTGCTACCAGTGGACTAGCCCACACTGCAAAACTGTGTTAAGCAACATTGCTGTTAAGGAAGATGGCCGCATATGTACCCAGATAGAGTGAGCAAACTCCCATCTCAGAGGCTGAAGAAAGGAGTCTAGCTTATTTTTCTCACTTTCTCCTATTCTCCCCCCTCTCTCTTTTTGAGTTTGTTTGTTTGTTTGGTTGGTTGGTTGGTTTGGTTTGGTTTTTGAGGCATGCTTTCTCTGTGTAGCAATCCTGGCTGTCATAGAACTCATTTTGTAAATCAAGTTGGCCTTGACTTCACCGAGATCCACTTGCTTCTGCCTCCGGAGTGGGGGGATTAAAAGTGTGCACCTCAGCGACCAGCTTCTCTGGCTCCCTCTTTTCTCTCTTTCATCCTTTCTTTTCTTATGCTTCTGTCACCCCCCCCATTGTTTTCCTCTTCCCATCTTCATTTTACTTTGTCATTGTCAGCATCTGTGTGCATGTTGCTTTGCTGAACACCAAGGTTGATCAGTCACTCCTGTACCAATCAATGAATTACCCTCCAAAGAAGCTGAAAGTCACATAGAGAATTGTTAAATGCATATGAAAATGCAAAGTGAGAGATTTCATGCTATTTGAATGTTAAGACAGTAATAGCATTTTCTTTGGATGCGGAACACAGGGAAGAATTTGTGGAGGGAAAGCTCCCTGCATAGTTAACAGGAAAGGAATTTTGAAAGATTATATTTCCTCATATCATCTTATTTTTTCTAAATGTATCAGCCTCCTTGGTGACTACATGTGCTGGGCCATTAGCCCATTCATATTCTCAGCCCTTTTTGGACTCTTCTTTGTCTCTGATAAGTGATGTGTGATAAGTTAAAATGTGAATATCAAAGGAGTCCTCTTAGTTCGACTGGGTCGCTTATGGGAAATTTCGGCCATCTTTTAAAACTAATAAGTCATCTGCTCTAGACTGGAAATAACAAGTATGTTGTTTGGATCCATGTCTAAAGTAGGCAGATGGGGTCAGGGGCTACATGAATCTCTGCCCTTTTGTCAGTCTAAAAATATTCTTCTTGTGCAAACTGTCATTTATGTCATAACGTAAGCCCTCTACAGCTGTGGACTGTCATCCCTAGAAATGCCTTCAGAATGCCCATGTGCCATGGCAACAGGCACTGAAGAATATGTGCAATAGGCTTTTAATTGTGGCATAAAAAAGTAAAACTCAGGAAGTTCCCTAGATTGTATTTTATGATGGAAATTTATAATAATCTTAGTCATTGTAGCATGAATGCCAGGTTACTTTTGGCATGAATCTTCTTAGAAATAATCATATCGATTTAAGAGAAATGTGTTGTATGTGTTACATGAAGGGAATTATATTAAAAGGTAACTAAAGTTGGTTATAATTTATGTATGTAATTTTGTTTATCTATTAATATTTTATATAAAATATAATTAAATTTGGAGGGTTGCTTTCTTACATTATTCTTTGTGAGATATATAAAGGAGATGTAATTCTCTTTTGAAGATGATCTGTCCTGTGGGATAGATGCTCAGCTGCTCAGGTGTATCAGCTTTTAGTTTTTATTTTTATTTATTATCAAGATCAATATGCTATTTGGAAACTGCCAATTTATTTCTAGATATCTAAGGGACTACAATTTGGAGAGTAATACAAAGTGAGTCTCATTAGGAAGTTTGCTTGGAGCAGATGGTATGAAGGAGAGCCTTTAGCTGAAGTTCCTTTTCTGTACAGTGAAGTCATTTGGACATTCTCTTAGTTTGATCTCAGCTCTGCAGAGATAATGGAGAAACTAGAGAAATAATTCCTTATATCCCTTCCAGAGCTAATACTCTGTGGTCCAAAATCATATTAATTTACATATGGCAAAATAGTGTCCAGTGGAAGATTTTTAAAGAAACTCTGAAAGTGTATGAATTTATTTAACTAGAAAAAAAAAGTAAAGCAAAAGAAATGACGTGACAGATGCAGTGCATGAGAACATTTTGAGAAATGAACATTATAGAAAGCCATTTGGAACAAGACAAGGCCACCACGTCTGTCTCCTTTCTAAATCTACCTCATCTTGACTCAATCTAAGTGTGTTGTGCCCAGTCATGCAGTGAATACTTCATGAATGAATAATACACAGGCATTATTGTTCCTCATGCACACACTTATGTATGTGGTGCAGGTTATTGTTTTTTGTTTGTTTGTTTGTGGGTACTGAGAATTGAACCCAGGGACTCCAGCTTTCTGGATATGCATACTACCTTTGAGGCATACACACAGCTGTTGGATTTGTGACCACAGCTCCTTCTATAAGTAGGAGTATTCCTTTTGTACCCCTAGTCTTCCTGCCTCAGGCTCCCTCAGCTATAGGCATATCTCACCATGCAGGGCGCTCTGTGGACCACATACTTGTCATACACCTTCCTCTTTGTAGTCAAAGGAAGTTGTGTTGACTTAGGAGGTACAAAATAGTGTAAGAGACAAGGTTGGCTTATTTTCTCATATATATCTTTACTAATTTTATTTTGATTGCACACATGAAACATTCTCAATCATAATTCTTACTCTATAATTGCTCTTGTTTTAAATCCTGGTTCATCTGCTGAGAGCCAGGTCTGTTACCTACTTCTGATAGTTGCATGCCCATGAGTAAAGAAAAGAAAATACAGCTTTATTTTCTCTGCTCATTGAATGAAGGATGGTAGCTGTGTTCATTGCCAGAAAAGATCTCTTTGAAAATTCTGTGGAACTGCCCTTAACCCTTTGATTTGTGAATAAAATCTCTTCAGAGCCAGATACTAGTAAGGTCTTTGCTCTTCTGACCTGGACTGATCTCCCAATTCTGGGGCGCCCTCTCATGCCACATGCAGTAGGAAGAGAGGTAAGCCAGTGGTACAAAACTGTTAATATGTCTTTGAGTCAGATAACTAACTAAACAAGTGTGTACAGATAAAATTCTTCTGTTATGTGAGTAGTAGATTATTTTTGTAGGAACTAAAAATATACATTTCCTTTATTTTGCATTCCTTAGCCATGGGAAACACCTATGATTATTCTTTGCTAGAGCACTGAAAAAAATCCAGGGTCATTTGTCCCTCTACAATTCAGGGGCAGAAAAATTCTACCAAGTCATATAGGTGCTTTATGCAAAATAAGTGATAACTTATGAAGACATAGTTAAATTGGATTTTAAAAAATGAGTTGAAAAAAATAGCAAGAAAGTGAACTAAAGTAATATTCAGTATTAAGAAATTCCACATCTTCTGGTATAAAACCTGGAGTTCTTTTATAAAGTCCATTGTTTGATTGATTGATTGTTTGATTGATTGATTGATTGATTTTGGGAAAGAGCAAACATACCATGAAAGTTCTCCCATATGTGTTGTGGAGATGGAAATCAGATTCTCAGGCATGATGACACACGCTCACACATTTATCTGCTAAGGCACCTACTGAACCAAAAACCTGGACTTTACATGATTGTGTATTACTCTCTAGAAGACTCGTATTTCTGGAAATGTGTTATGAAGTATTTGGAACATGTGTTTAAATCGACATGGCCATGTGTTTATTCTCTTCAAATACATTGAAAATTCCAAGCTTGCATGAGAGGAAAATGATACAAAGATCTAAATATAGAAAGAATAGGGAGGAGAGAAAGGTATTTGTGTAAGAGTCTTTTTAAATTTTGTTTTAACCAGTTGCTTTCATCAGTATCGATTTGTTTGAAACAATAAATCTTGATGGCTTGAGTTGACCTTGTTCCTATTGGTTGTTGACCTTAGTCCATTCTACCGAAACCAGGAGTATATGACAGGACAACCCGTCTACTCTGAAAACAGTTTAGGATCTCTCGTGTTTTGAATATCTTAATTTTCTCTCTGGCCCTCACAGCTGTAGTTTTAAAGTTCATAAATGAATGGATCAGTCTAGTTGACTCACATGGAACTGTTTCTTTCAGCTTTTTGCCTGAATTCATCAGTGGGGACTTTGACTCTATTAGGCCTGAAGTCAAAGAGTACTACACCGAGAAGGTAAAGCACACTGACTTTCATACTCGAGCTCTTGCTCCTGCCTTTGCTCTGGCTTACTGTCATGGATGATGGGGGATGGGTTGCAAAGCTCTTTGGTTATTTCCATAGTTTTTGTTGTAGAAATTTAGTATATAATACATATTTAATATGTGTTCATAATTAATATTTATATACATTTGTTCTATATTTTAATAATTTATCTGATATAAATACTACAATCTATCATAATAGAAAATATATAAGCCTTTTAAAATAAAGAATGGAAGCATAGTATTGGTAAATTCTATCACCATCAGATGTGCATTAATCAGTACCATAAATATACATGTAACATATGTATTCAATATGATTATAGTTTACCAAGGTATATCTAATAACTATTGTAATTTATACCCTCATTAATTATTATACATTTTCACTAAGATTTTATTCTTATTCAATGAATGGATTATATTAATATTTTGCTTAACCAATTCCCAGTTAATATACTTAAACTGTATATATTTTGTCTCATTGTAAACTAAAATTTCTTTATAAATAAGTTTCTATAAATATGTGTAATGGTATACTCTCTGAATTTCAGAAGTTTTCTACAATAATTAGTTTTTTTTAAATAAAGCTACTAATTAGACCTTGAGGTTAATAATAGCCAGACTTTCTCACTAGTGTGCAAATCCTCCTCAGATCCTTGACACTTAAAGACTATGTAAAAGATCTAACTGGGGATGATGGAGATGTACAGGAGTGAATGACAGTAGTTACTCATGGATGGATTCACAAATTTTAGAAGACAATACAGAGATTTTAAAGGAGAAGTTGTAGCATGAGTAACGTTAGTACATCCTCATTATATGTATCCCTGTAAACTGGTGCAGTCAAATCACACATAATTCTTTTTCAAGAAACTGCAGTGACTGTGATCATAAAGTAATTCCTTTTAAGGCTGTGGGAGAGGTGAGATACTTTTTAAATGCACAGGACAGATTGGATGAATAGCTTCAGGCAAGTAATGGCTTCTAAAATAGGAAGAGGGAGCTGGAGAGATGGCTTAGTACTTAAGAGCACTGTCTGCTCTTCCAGAGGAGCCAGTTTAATGCCTAGCACATGGCAGCTCACAGTCATCTATGACTCCAGTCCCAGGGTGTCCTTGTACAAGTATACATTTGGACAAACAGTCGTACCCATAAAATAAAAATTAATACTCCCCCCCACCACAAAAAAAAAAACTCAAGAAAGAAATCAGTCTTCTGAGACAAGGCCATTGATAGTATCATTTCTGCCCCTCCCTCCATCTGTGTGTGTGTGTGTGTGTATGTGTGTGTGTGTGTATGCGTATGTGTGTGTGTGTGTATGCGTGCTCACACACGTGCATATTTAAAGAAAAAGAGGGATAGAATTCGCAAAGATACAGCTAGAGGTGGGAGTAGTGTAGAATGGAAAGTATGTAAAAAACAGTACTCATGTAAAATTCTCAAACAACAACAACATTTTAGGAAAGAAAGGCAAGAAGGAAGATAGGAAAGGGAAAGAAGGGGAAAGGAAGTCAGAAATGGCATAAGTGAACCAGGGCTGTTTTGAATGCATATTCCAGGGTTGGCTGGACTGCAGATTTGTTCACTTCCCATCTGCCCACCAGCTTATCAGACCTTCTTTCAGCAAATGAAGACCAGTCCCAAGTCAGTGTTTGATATTCATGCTCAATTACTTCAGCATTGGCACGTTCCTATTCATTCCCCCACAGCCTCACTTCTCATTAACTCCATACCTCAGCCTCGCTGGGAAGGAGCTCTGGCCCTGCTTACAATGCAGAGTTGTGCTAATGCACAGGTATTAATCATACTTTCAGCAACAGAGCAAACAGAGGGAGAAGCAGGGAGCAGCATACTCAAAAACAAGATGAATACATGGTCAGAACTGGCTTACCTCCCTGTCTCTTTATGCTGATGGCTTGCCAAAATCAGAAATGCCAGTCTGCCCATTACTGTGTAGGGTGAGGAAATGAGGGAAGTAAGCTTCGAGGAAACTTCCCCATGCTTTAAATCGGGGTTCAGCAATAATGGGACATTTTCAGTTAATACTTGTGATGGATTTTTCTTGTATTTCTTGCTTTGCCTGTTTTTAAACTTGAAAAGTCATATTGGTTTTTCAAGATAGGGTTTCTCTGTATTGCCCTGGCTGTCTTGGAACTCACTCTGTAGATCAGTCTTGCTCAAACTCACAAAGATCTGCCTGCCACAACTTATATCCTTTTAACATTTAGTTTTGAAAGTTATCTCTAGCAAATTCTTTTCATTTCTAAGTTCTAGGCTACATAGTACAATCTTGTTTTTCTCTGTTTAAGTCTCTTCTTTTGAACTTAACCTGGCATGCTCTTAGAGGGGATAGGTGATGTCCTTCATGCAGTTACTATGCCCCGCAGAGTGCCCCTGAGTGTTTGGCTGTGAGTTTAATAATGATGATAATTACAAGTTAATGCAACATTACACACAATTTCTATAAGCCATTATCTCCAACTTCAGCAGTCTTTAAGCTTCTGTTTTACATGAAAGGACATTATCTTCACTTTTACATCCATCTGGTCCACAGGCTGCTCTGAGATCTCAGTGATCTAAGACTTGGTCTCTAGGAAAGAAATGAAATTTACACTGCTAACATACTGTTGTAATCATAGAGTAATCCTAGAGCCAGCATTGACCCGTGCATGGTTGAACGTTGCAAAGAGTATACAAGCCAGTGCTTAGTCAGTATTTTACCTTTCTTTCATGTAACTAAAAACATCTCTGTTTGCCTTAGTTCTTCCAGCTTAGGTGGAGAGATGTCTCTCAGCAGTGTTTACAATGTTTGCTTTTATTAAAGGGTTTGTTGTTTTTGTATTGTTTGTTTTGATTTTACTTTATAGGCAATTCAGAGTTTCTTTGCCTCAGGGCAAAAGTCATCAGTTTCAGTCTTTGTAATTTTCCTTCCATGAGCACATACATTGTAGTTTTCTGAGAACTTTGGGAATAGTCTATAGTTCTTCATTAGTTACAGGAAAAGGGATTCAAACCATACTTACTTGATACTTAGGTGACAGAAGAGCTAGTTGTACCTTTCAGCTAATGTCTGAAGATGTTTTAAATCAACAGAGTTTTTATATAAATAGTGGTAAGTAGGATCAGAGGTAAAAAGATTTTTGCAAATGTAATCAGATAGACTTGGATGGCCTCAGTCAAATGGCTCCCTGTGTGACAACTTGGTTAGTTAATTCTTATGCTTTCTATGAAGAGTTCTTTTGAAACTTTGAATGAATTGCTGCCACTGCTTCTCAACAACACCTCCTTGGCTGTTGCTTGCAAAGACTACTTAGAATCTCTGGGAATGGATTTCTCACAGCATCACCAGCAATGTGATGAGTCTGGAGTGTGTTTCCACATTCAGAGTTCTATCATGTGCCATCCTCAGTGCCTAAGTTCAGGGACAGCAGGAGGCACGGTAAAGACTGAGTAAAGGTCAAAATGACTAACACCTAAGCATCTGATAAATGACTCAATTAACAGAATAGGATTGACCTAGTATATATCACTGAATTGGAGTGAGTGTTAACAGAAAGTTAGCAAGGACACTGGTGACCAAATGTATGTACTTTTATGCTCTAAAGAGTGTTTGGACTTTTTGGAAAGTTCTGAGCCACAAAGAACATCCTCTAGGTGGAAGAGTAACACCACTAGTTATTAGTCAAACAAGGGACTCGAAACCTGGTCTCTAATTTTATTGTCCAGAAAAGAACATTGCACAATTGTATCATGCTAAGGAACATGTAGAGCTACAGGTAGAGCAAAGGCATGACTGAGGAACTGTTCCAACTGCAGTGCAGAGCTGAGTGATGGTAACAGAAAGCCTGTGCTGTGAACCTCCTGTTTCTACTGTGTGCCAAGGTTACAGGCCACCAGGTAGCTGGGAAATAGAACTAGAGGCCAAGATTGACACTGAGGCTCTCAATTCTTCCTGCCGTCCATTGTGTCATGACATTTTTCTGAGTTGGGAAATGTGATGAATGTGAGGAAATTGCATGAATTATTTAGGAATGACTTATTAAACAGATGCTTCCTGATTAAATCTTTTTATTTTCGTATAATATTGTTGAAGCCATATACTGTTTTAAAACCTGTTTTCAACAAAGATCAAAAATTTTAAAAGAAAATTTTCTTTCTACAGATGTTCATGTACATACTGAAGTAAAAAATAATTCCTTGTGTTACCCCACATCACAGTCACCCACCTCACTGTGTTTGTTACAGTTAAAAGTGGTATTGAGGCTTGCATAAAATTTTCTCAGTGAAAATCATTAGAAACTGGCTCCTAGGTGACATGTGAATAGAATATTTTATTGTTTTGTAAGTGAATTACTGATATTGAGTAATGCTTTGAATTTTAATTGCAGTTCAAGAATGAGGGCATCGATCCCAGGTGTTAAAGAGGGGACCAGGATGGGTGGATAGGTATCGGTGTGTTTTAAAAGGTAACAGTTTGGGATGTTACTAGCATTTATTTCATTTTTTGTAGATAATAGAGTGTTTTCTTGAACAATAATTTTTTTTAAGTTGCTACATTCTTGAGTGTCTTACTACCATATGTGGAAAAAAATCAAATCCTGTTTCATGACTCTGGTTCCCTCACATGTTTACACTAACGACTGAACAGGCATCTGGGTTCACAGATGCTCTAGAAAGACTAGAACTCTAGTCCAAAGTGGTAGAATTTTTTTTCCTTTCAAAAGTTATTGCCTATGAGTGTGTCTGTTGTTTCTCAGTAATTCTGTTTTAAAAATATTTCTTGTCTGTTCATATCTCTAAGTATATAATTTATAAATTTATTTTTAATTCACATTCAGAATCCTTTAGAATATCTTTTGAATTTGATGAAGCCATGGGTTAAGTTCTATTTAAATTTCATTGAATGTCTCCTGTTAAAAATGGCTGCCCTGATCTACTTAAATCTCATGAATATTATTATGTTCACCC